CCCAGAAACGACGGAAAGGCGCCCACAGATTGTCACCAATGGTCACGGTGCCGAAGACTGCCGATTTAAACACCGCCATTATCAGTCGTCTGATAACGACGTTGGCGGAGGGAACACTAGTCGAGGCGCTCATAATCAAAGTCAGCCTTATCTCGGTCAGTGGCTGAATGTCACGCTCGAGAGACCCCCTTCCCATTCCTCAAGTACCGCAATCCGTAATCCTTCGGAAACTGAATAATTATACTCAGTGCACATGTTCAAAACACTTCCTGGAGTTACAAGAAGATCGGCAGGGCCGATCTCTTTGTGGCAATACAACAAGGTTAGTAAACCCCTGGAACCCTACCCAGATTGACGTTTATCGGGAGCAAATTCCTCCAGATTTCCTTCGTTCTTTTTGGGAGTGATAGTACAGAAGCACATAGTTTTATTTGTAGCGTTTGTACATTTATTGACAGGGAAATGCGAGACCTGCAGGCGTGTCAGTCGCTTCTGGGGTCAGGCGCTTATTGCGTCGCTTCTGGGGTCGCACTAGTACTGTTCCATAGTCCAGACCCGCGAGGGTTACACAAGGGCCGGAAACACGATGCACTGACCCGCGTCGCGGGAATAGCATGCATGTTGGGGGGAAAGTGCTGCGTGTCAGAACACATGAAAACCATTGACCCCAATGACATGATGCCGCAGGTCGGAAGGGTCGATGCAGTTGGCCGCTCAGAGCACACCGACAAGAGATCGTCCGACGGGATTATACGGGAAAGGTACGGATGCCGTCACGAGGCTATAGGCGATCTGGGCTATGGCTGCGGTGCGCAGGCGGAACACTTAATTGCGGTTTCATTGAGTAATAAACTTCCTCAACTTCCTCACAAGCGACGCTTACCATGTTTTCCGATTGCCGATTGCTGGGCGTCCCGCTCCCAGTCCCCGACGTACGGCAAAGGGTGAAACGCTAAAGGCTAATAGGCGCTATGGTGCGCCGCCGACGGCCGATGCGCGTGTGCGAGGGCGGGTCCCCGCTCGTGAGGTCGCCTAGCGGACTTGTGGTGGTGTCACCCGGTGAAGAGTACGACATAGAGGGCGCACTTGCGCGTCCTAGACTCGTCTCTGACGCGGCGCGGTTGTGACATGGTTTGGTCTCAGAACCGGAGGCAACGAGTCTTCGCGTACCGACGCACAGACCATTGCTCTCGAGTATAAGGACCTGGCGAGGTAGAGAACCCAAACGTCAGTTCCCAGTCGCTCATCTCTTGCAGTCCAACTCCCGAACACACTATCCTTACCAGTCTTCGTCCTCACCGTTCGAAACATATTCATCATGTTTGCCCGCGTCGCTGTCGTTGCCACCCTCTTTGCTCTCCCTCTCCTTGCGGCCGCCGGTAACTGCAACACTGGCGGTGTACAGTGCTGCGAGAGCTACGAGGACGTGAGTAACTTGTGATATTCCTTATTGAGAGTGTAGGAAGCTAACATTGTCTCAAACTGCAGTCGAAGAGTGCCGCTGGTGCTACTCTTCTGAAGGCGATCGGTGTAAACCTCCAGGACGTCACTGGCCAGATAGGTTTCAAGTGCTCTCCCATTTCGGTGATCGGGGCCGGAGGCAACTCCGCCTGTTCTCAGCAGCCCGTCTGTTGCCAGAACAACAACGTCGTAAGTCCATTGCTTCCCGTAGACGACCTGTTTGGCTTACCATGTGGATTTCGCAGGGTGGTGCCATCTCCATTGGCTGTCTTCCCATCGAGCTCTGAGCTTCTTCGTTACTGTTCCGTCCAAGGGGTCATATCTTAGTCTTAGTCAATGGTTAATGTAGAGTGCAATGCATCGTCGTTCGCTTTGAATTGATGTGACGTTGCGTGTGTCATGCGGAGCGAATGTTCATATGTGCTGGGAACCATACGAAATAGTCCCATCGAGCGTTAGTGGGTACTGTCCGATGGCAACGAAGGGAATGTCTGGGAGACTCCGTGTAACGGGACGAGTGCGGTTGAAATTAGTAAGGATTATCTTATGTCCGGTTAAGCTCGATGGCAGTACGGTCGTAGAACACCTGGAATTTGTGATAAGACCGTGGAGATACAGAGATTCGGCTTCGCAACTTCTTAGTTGATAGCCAAGCTGTAAGCAGACCTACACGTGACGCCATCAGCAGACGGTACACAGAGTGACCTCCAGGAGCACTTACGTGGTAAGAGTAGCAGACCCAGAAGTGGGCTCCGTACCAGCCTGCGCGGTGACTAGATACTGCGACGAACTCACACCCTCATGCTGCACCAGGTACTACATGGGACGCTCAGTCACCCATCTGCCCTGAAACATCAACCGAGGAAGACTCACGTCGAAGAACGCCTTGATATCCCCGCTGAAGCTCGTGATCGTGCCCGACGTGGGCAGGAACGAGAAGACGGCATTAGCGCCGTTCGAGCCCGAGTAGAGGTTCCAGGTGTGGCCCGCGAGCGAGAGATTGGACGCGACGGGGACGGGCTTGCCGTCCGAGCCGTACTGGGACGAGATGGGGCCAGCGTTGAAGTTGGCGAGCCAGATCATGATCTCGTTCACGTTCGAGCCGCCCGCAGAGTTGGACGTGAAGAGGTCGTACGCGACGTCCGCGACGACCGAGCCCGAGGCGGACTGCGACCACGTCCAAGTCGTCTGACATGATCCGCGCACGCTAGTGAGCAACAACACCCGAAAAGCACACGGGGGCAGAGATGACGCACGGGAATGCTCGAGATCGCGCTGAGCTGCTTGTTGATGCCCTGGTTGAGCTGTATGTTCGTGAAGCTCTTCACGCCCGAGCCGCCCGTCCACGTCCACGTCGTCTTCCACGAGATCGTGCTCCCGCTCAAGCTAACAAGGTTGGCGCATTGCTGGCCAGACGTCGCGCCGGACGCGCCCCATTGGTCGAGGAGGAGCTCGTACTGACCCGCGGTCACGGTGTCCCACTGGCCGCAGTGCGAGGACGTGTCGACCTGGCGCTTCGCGAGCTCCGCCGGAGCCGCGGTCGCGAGGAGGGGTACGGAAAGCACAAGGAATGCGAGTGCTTTGGAAAACATCGCTGCCGTTGGCCGAGGGTACGCGGATAGTTTGGCAAGGATTGTCCGGTTAGGGTCTCTTTTGAGAGGTGTCCAAGAGGATGAAGAGGCTAGGGACAGTCGGACGGCGTTGTTATATAGCCGGAGGTCGTAAACATAGAGGCAGTGTCGTGCTGCAAGAATCAAGAGAACGTGAACGACGCACTACCCCGGGAAAGGAGCATGCGGAGAAACTCACGCGTATATCTCGCTCGTCCTAGAAGTCTGACGCAAACCAGGTAGACGTGACCGCACCCGCAGAGCCGTCAACCTCACGTTTCGCATTAAAGAGCTATTCTCGGCGTTTTTAGAAGGCACGCTCGCGCACACTTGCGAACGGGATCGCCGCATTCGGTATGGGAGAACACAGGCGGGCCCTAGAGAGGAAGGAAGGCGACGTCAGGTGCGGATGGCACCGATGACGACCGCATCCTGGGCGAACATGTTGCCCCACAGGCATATGCTACGACCGGAAGATCCTGAGAAGCTCGTGTGGTGTAGGCGTCGCGAGACGGAGGATGCTGGTCACGACTATGCGCAACGCAGAATTTGAGCTGATGGCCACGGCCCGACCGGCGCGAGACAGGCTTGGGCTGCCTGGCGCTAATGCCCCCATTCGACGCCTCAAAGTTGTGGTCAACCTATGCAAATCCTGCTGTATCCTCGGTTTGGTAGTTCAATCGCATGAAAAGTGTCCACCTGCCTTGCTTTGCAGATGTGCCAGTACCAAGGAAGCAACCCTTGTACTACGCCCCTCCCGAGACACCGGGATGCGAGCAAACTGGAGGTCTGGCTCAATGTTCGGTGCCAAGAGCAAGGGAGGAGCGACAGCACTCGCCTCTCGTAGGTAGCGTCGTTTCAAAATGAGACCACGAGCGCGGGGATCTTGGCGTGAACAGACGAATCTGACTTGCAAGTGAGAATGCCACAAACCACTGCCTCTCGAAAGGCAATGACAGTGGGGACATCTACGCATGGTACACAAGCAATGGCTAATCAGATATCCACTGTCAGTGTCTCACGGACGTCGTGCGTTATGACAGCAAAGGCTGCGGCTGCGGAGAGCCTCGAATCCAAGCTGACGAAGCGTGCTGAGGCAGGAAGCCTGAGACCTTCCTGCATAGCCTTCGCTCATATTGGGGATAGGCAGCGCCCGGGTTAACCGAGGAGGCGCGCGTCAGAGCGCCCGGCCTTCGCTTATGCCTCGGGGCTCGAATTGCATGATAATCTACGGCTTGATCAGACGGCAGGACGGCCAAATGGAATGCTGGTGGCTGAAGGGCGGTCAACGTGTAAAAGAAAGATCTCTCCCCGAAACCTCCCATTACGACCGAGCAGAGTGGTGAAGGGGTATCTTAGACATTGAATGCACAAGTTCTCTCGTGGCGATTTTCAAGTTGGAGCCTAGTTCTCGAGATATTGTAAGAATTGAAAATCTACACGAGAGAATATGTTCTACACGTCATTCCCTACAACTTTTGAGTGAGCATCCCAGGCTCAAAACACGCTCAGAGCGCAAAAGAATGTAAGCGCCATGCCCACTGGGAAGGGGGAGAGGATTAAGCGCCTCTCAGCCACCGACCAGAGCGGTAGTGGTCGCTGTGCCTTCATGTCCTACACTGGAGTGAGCCATGCTCATCTCGGCCAAGCGAAACAATTCACAATGCATATAATACTTCTTACACATCTGTACTACGGTTTATCCTGCCTGTGAGGGGAACAAACCGTTGGAAGTCCCATAATACCACCAAGATCCTCGAGAGCGCCTCATCGGAGTCGAACATCGAGGTCGGGTAGATGAGAGCGGAAGACTATCTCTGAGCGCTATCGTTATATAAGCAGAACATCGGCTAGCGGGCGCTGCCTATCCCCACTCATATGCAAACTATGCGAGCGCCAACTGTTGTGGGCTCTGGCGTTGTATAGGCAATATAGCGATCGACTCTGATGTCTGCCTCGTCGATACTAACTCACGTGGGTCGACCACACTTGGCCGCTTCAACTGTGGGCCTGGCCCAGTCTGACGCACCTGCCTGGGGACTCGCAACAGATCGACGAAAGGACTTTGTACATCCGCAGACGACGAGCTGCCACTGCGCGGGCGATGGCCGCCACCCAAAACGGCAAGTCTTGACAGCCGCACCGCAGCGCTGTGCACTGGGCTGCACTAACAGGGCACGTACAAGCCCACGAAGCCCGCACGTTGCGGTCTTCTGCTGCGGCTTGGTATGCCTGAATGCTTCGGAATGCGATTCAGCTGGCTCGCTTGACCGGCGAGCATCGATAAGCAAGGCGACACGAGGGGTCAAGCGTCGATTGTAGGGTGCATGCAGCTGCTGGCAGGGCGTCAGCTGACAAGAAATTGACAGTGGGGACGAGGCCGACTGCTCGCTCGGTTACCCCTCCGAGTACTCCGAGCGCACCGGAGCGAGGCACGCCTCGTCGTGACGACCATCGCTATTGCAAAACGGTGTGGGGCTTCGCCGCGGGCGGCGTAGTGTAACGACTCGCCAATGGCTGATAACCCCGGAAGAGCCGACGAGCCGCCAGAGCAGTGAGACAAGACGACTAAGAGAATCATAATACAAAAGTGAACACTCGTGAGGTCCTGAGACAACCGGAGTCTCACAGCGTTTTGCAAAAGATGGAGGGCCGAGAGCCCAGTGGTCAGTACTGCTGGCACATTCTGTGGCACTCCGCGTATATGGGGCCCCGTCAAAGTCGCATCTGCAGATTGAGCAGAGCTGCAGGCAACAGTTCGAGGACGACGTAAGCCTTCATGATAGTCGATAGCCTTAGTACGTCCGCGCGTGCCCGGGTGGATGTATTCCGCATGCACCAGTCTTATGACGAATGGGAGATCGGTCCATATCTTTGCGATTCGCCAGGAGGCGCAGCGGATATCGACCTTGTTTGGCCCAATCCGATACCGGCGCGCTACAGTCGGTAGATCATTGACACCTCCTGAGGCTAGCCTCCGCTGCCCTACGCCCACGACGGATAAAGTGAACATATGAGATATTGGGCCCTGCGCCGCCAGCGGCAGTTGAACAATGCAGAATATGTTGACGAGCACAGGTACACTGGGACCGGCGGGATGGCAGTGGGAGAAGAGGCGGCGGGCGCTGCGATGGGCGGTGCAGCGGGCAGGGGTGAGGGCGGGCGTCTGGCTCAGTATGGACACAGCCCGGACACCCTACCCGCCTGCTCATCGCCATCACTTCCCTGTCCAAGATTATAAGACATGTCCGCACAGAACCCGCCCCTGTCCTACCCCCTCCTCCTCCTTCCCTTCTCCCTTTCCGCAGCAGAGAGTTCCGCTCTACCTCTTCTCCCTCCTCTGCCTCACGACCTTTACTCACTCTTCTAATCCGCCGCCCACGCAAAGCAGCACCTAAGACGCCCACGGAGCAAGACACCATGTCCAAGCACTTCTGCTGCTGCATCCCCGTCCGCGCAGCGGTCTTCTTCTTCTCCCTGCTCTCCTTCCTTGCCTCCGGTCTATCTGCCGCGCTTGCTTGGTACTTGCTGTTCCGTGAGTACACATCGTTGTGGATTGATGTATGCAAATGCAGAACCTGACCGACATGACTACCTCTAGTGATCGACAACAACAGGCTCGATGAGGTTGAGAAAAACCTCAATGAAAACGACAAGCAAGCGTTCGATGCCGTTGCCCACAAGTACAAGTGGGGGATCATCGTTGGTGGCCTCATCTTCACCCTGATTGCTCTCATGTCCTTCTTCGGGTGCGTCTCGTCCTACGGCTTGTTCAACCACTCGACCTGACTTTCATGCAGCTTCGTTGGTTCGATTATTCGCAACCGCCGCATGGTGAAGGCGTACTCGTTCATGACCATCTTCATCTTCATCCTCGGCACGGTTGCTGCGGGCTTCACCCTCTTCGCAACCTACAACCACAAGCCGATTTGCGTGACGATCAACAACGAGCAGGTCTGCACACAGTCGCATCTCTCCCTCGGCCAGAAGATCGGGTACACCGTCTACGTCGTCATCGAGTGGCTCATCGAGCTCTGTGAGTATCCCTCCACTTGCATACACGTCTTCCGGGGGTTGCTATCTCCTGCCCGCGATGCCCGAGTCTTCATCGCCTCCCGTATACCCGGGTTTCTATCTATTCCCCGCGCGCCACAGTCCTGTCTCACATGCTCCCGTCCAACGTCTCCGTATGTGTGGCATTGCTGACTTGTCACTTTTTCCCCCCAATCTAGACATCATCGTCATCATCCGCCGCTACTACGACCAGCTCGAGGAGGAGCGCGAGTACCGCCACGAGTTCCGTCTCAACCCCACCACCTCCGGCACGTACGAGGCGAAGGAGGGTCTCCTCACCCAGGGCCACTACCCCTACACGGACAACCACAACGCCTTTGGGGCGCACAACCACGCATAAGCGCATCTACTCTTGCCTTTCTCAGGAACGTGGCGCGTTTCCATGCGCCCGTGCGGGCTGGTGATTGACGTGTATGATACATACTACTGCGCCACGGATGGGGCGGCGCAACGCCGACATCGGTTGGGCGCTCGGGGGCAGGGCTCTACGCAAACTTACACGCGCCGGGTAATGTTATCATAGCGCAACTCCGGACATTGGACTGGGCAGTTGGTTGGGCTGTTCTGCCTGGCGCGCGTTGTGTTGTTACTCTGGTTTCCTCTTCTCCCTTATATCTATCACCCACGACTGTATCGCATTACGGACTTTCGCTACTATCATGACGTCTTCTTGACCACTGTTCGTGAAGCGCGTGCGTAAGTCAGTTGGCACTCCTGGAGTCGCATTTGTCAAGCTTGCGTTGTCGACTTTTTCTGATTGTTCCAATCGGTACAAGGATGTGAGTACAGTTGACTAATCAGTAATGCACGAGCTCATCCACTCATATGTATCGTCGCAGGACGTCGGGCAGGTAGCTTTCAGACATCGATCCCGTCACCCGGCGCGCCCTCGTGATGTGCAGAAAGAAGGGCGTCCACCTGGGCGCGGGTTGTTGCTCTAACCGGCCGATAGCGATAGCCGCTGACGACGATCCCGAAGTGGCCGTTCACCGTGTCCAGCTTTAGCCCCTGTCTCCAACACCGTTCGGAAGCAAGCCCTCTCGCACCGCGCTCCATGCGGGCGAGCAAGCACTCTGAAAGGATATGTTGGATCTTCTCGCAACGACCGACCTGAGGAGCCTGCGAGCCATGCAAGTCCTGGGGAGCCTGAGGGACCTCCTCGAGAGGGCCGACTTTGTCAAGCCGCAAGGTGCGCAAGTCCGGAAGCACCACGCCCTCGGAGGAGGACGAGGTCGCGCCCTCCTTCAGGGCGCGCAGGAGTTTGCGGATCTTCTTCAGGGCCGAATCCCGCCCGAAGTCGACCGTCAGGTGCTCGAGGGCGGGGAACGTCCGGAAGACGTCCGCGTATGCTCCTTGCTTGACCGGCCACTCGATGGCCAACGTCGTCAGCGGGGCACGCTCAAGGTACGCGCAAAACTCGGCGAGCACCGGGTAGGGGTCGGCGCGGTGCCTCCGCGCCCAGCAGGTATCACAGTCGACGTCGACGACGAGCTCGCCGCCGGACCCGCCCCCGGTGCCGGGGGCCTTGCAGCTGAAGCCCGCGGGGCCGTGCCAGGTCGCGTCCACCGCGGTGCGCAAGATGGGGTAGTTGTCCGGGTCGTTGGGGAACATTTCGCCGACGCGGCCCGCCTCGCGACAGTGCGTGCCGCAGCGGAGGGCGATCGCGCAGCGCTCGGAGAAGCGGACGTGCGAGAGGACGTCGAAGAGGATGTCCGCGTCGTCCACACAACATGTGAGGTCGAAGGTGCGGAGGTTCGGGAGCGCGGCCGTCGGGATCGGGCCATCCAGCCGGGAATCGTTCGCGTTGAGGATGTGCGGCTTGGCGGAGTTGACGTTGATGGAGAGGTGCTCGAGCGACTGGCAGGCGGAGAGGATGGCGAGGAAGCGGGGGAGGGCGACGTCGAGGGCGTCGTCCATTGTGTTGTGATCCAGCGACCAGCCGTGACAGGTCAGGACCCGCAGGTTCGGCAGGAGGGCGGAGGTCCACGGGAGGAATACGCCGTTCATGTGGAGGGCGCGGAGGGCGGGGACGCGGTCGGGGCGGATGTCGAGGAGTTCGGTGAGTACAAAGCGCGGATATGCATCACTGTGCCATTCGCTGATGAGAATCAACTGTGTCAGCTTCGGTAGGGTGCGGTCAAACAGTCCCTGCAGGTCACCCAGTGCAGCGACAGTGTCTTCCTGGTATACCGCGATCGACCGGATGCGTCCTGTATGCAGGAACAGCGCGCCACACGCCGGAGGCATGCGCTCGGGAGCGTGGAAGCGCACATCCAGGTCCACCGAGCCGGAGTTAGCAAGACAGAGTCTCACCCAGTCCAACGAATGCCTCGAGCCGTAGACGTCGATTGTTGCCCAGAGGCGATGGTGGTTATCCATGGCCTGCCGCCAGGTCTTACAGACTAGGCGGGCGGTGAGCCACACATGGGCTGGTCTGGGGGTTGCAGTGGTATGGTCGTCTCTTGTGCACTCTTGTGCGTACTCGAAGACTTGACTTAATAGCTCAGTAGGGAGGGCGTGAATGGACGCGAAAGCCGACTTCAGCCCTCCGGCTGTGTCTTATGAGTTCCAGCTCGCGATAATATCCAGGAGGTGAACGTACCGCTATCATCGTGAGTGGCGGAGGTAGCCATAGAGTCCCGAAGGAGAGTAGTACGACGACGTTTCCTCTGTCCCATCTGTTCCTGCTCTTCAAATACGACTCCGGTGCGTGCATGTCGATGCGCTTTTTTCATGATTGGTTGCCGAAACGATGATTCTTCCTGTTTGCAGCTTTCGTATCCCAGCGCGGAAGCCACTTCGCTTGAGGCATTGAGAATGGGCGATTGTGGTATGAAATAAACGTAACAAGCTAAGCAGCCTTGCAAGGGTTCTCATGGATCATATGCCAATGATGTCTCAATCAGCCTTCGGTTCCGGTTACGCAGTGACTTCAACCCGCGGTTTGTTATCGAATATATCGATAGTGGCAGTCGGAGGACATCCTTTTCGAGGACACATCATTCGCGATGAACATGAAGCTCGGCTACACCCTTCCGCAAACGCCCCACCATAGGACGGTGGGCTTGCCATATCCTCAACAACGTCGCTTCCTACCTGCCACCACGCGACATTAGGCGAAACGAGGTTGGACGGGCAGCGTCGAAGAGTCATTTGATACAGCCGCTCGGCACAAAAGAACTGCCGTCTTGCTGACCGGAACACGTCAACAGCAAAGTCTCTCGTCAATTGCACCGGTCTACGATCCAGGTAATTACAGTCATCACCGTCACTCGCGGTCAGGAGATCATGACAGGACCACCCACCCAGCGCTCTAAATTTCTTAATCGTAACTCCTTCTCAGCTGACAGAGCCGGCCCAACTTCCCATCTCCTCTCCTCCTTGACCCACTTCCGTGCGCGATGAACATGGATGTGCAGCTCTTTCAAGTTCTCCGCGCCGCCTGCAACGCGAGACCACAAGCACCGTTCTATGTCATCCGCCAGGTCATCGTACCATGCAATCTTGAGTAATCGCAGGCTCTGCAGGTTCCTCAAAGGCACGTTGGTCTCTTGTCCCTCCTTTGGCCCTGATCCCTGTGACATAGGAGAATTCCACGCATCGGACGGCATTACACCTCCGGCTAGGGCGAACAAGAAATTGTGGACGGATTCTGCTTCTGCGTTCCTCGAAAAGTCGTGTTCAAGCGACAGCTCCGTAACGGAGGGGAAGGCCCAGAACGCCGTCACAAACCCCTGCGCACTCGGTCCTTGCGCCACCGCAAGCTTCCTCAAGCAGGCCAGACCCAGAATACGGCAGAAGTCCGCAAGCGCGCGGTCCTCCCACCCCGTTTGTTGCTCGTCATGACGCCAATATGCAATCACGTCCATGTCGACTCTCAGCTGTCCCTGCACTAGCTGCCGCTCCCGGCAGTCAAAACAGTGATCCACCGGCGCAGCCGAAGCCGTTCGGCAGCTGAAGAGCCTTGGGCCATTCCATGCTGCTTCAACGGCTTTCTCTAGATGAGGGATACACAATGGGTCGTCGGGAAGGCAGTCGGTGTAAGGGCTGGGTACGTCGCTTTCGATCTCCAGGCGGAAGTCACACCTCTCGGGGAATCGAATATGTTCCAAGACGGGGCGTATCGCATCGGTATCGAATTCATCTTCTCCCATCCTCCCTTCGCCGCCGATGAGGGCACTACGGAGATTAGGCCACGTAATAAAGCGGTCCCGGCGCACACGCTGGTTCTCTCCGTGGAGCTTTCTCGGCAAAGCGCAGTAGAGAGCGATATGCTCCAGAGACTGACATGCTTCCAGAGCATCTAAGATGTCGCTGAGCGTGGTCTGGTCCTTCCTTCTGTCGTTCCGGTACAAGCCCAAGGACATAGATGTCCACCTGAGTTCCAGGGTGTGGAGATAGCGGGGAAGCGGGTACGTCCAGGGAAAACGCACGCCCTCCAGTTTCAAAGTGCGAATGGCAGGCAGGTGACCGACGTCGACGTCGAGGTGCTGGGGAAGGACGAACCTGTCTTCCAATCGATATGCGTCTTCAACATACACTTGTAGCTCCTCTAGAACAGGCAAGGTTACCACGAGTAAGAGCCGGAGACTCTTGAGCTCCTTGACGGTCTCCCGGCCGGACACGCGGATACCCTGGATCCGTCCTGCATGTTCCACCAGTAGACGAGACGCTGTGGCCATTCTACTAGGATGGTGGAAACGCAGACGCAAAGGTGCGGTGGCAGATCGGGTGAGGCAGCGTTTCAGCCACTCCATCGAACGGTCGATTTCGATGGTACGCCACAGGAGAGGAGTTGCGTGCGCAACATCGCGCCAGTAAGAGCAGACCCGTAAGATTGCCAGCCACTGTGTTGTCAATTGAGTGATTTCGGTAAAGTTCTCTTCCTTCTCTTCCTGGATGTCGTGGAAGATTCGCGAGAGTAATTCGGGTGGAAGCTTGTTGATGTGGGAGGTGATCACGACGGGGCCTAGGAGATACAGTCCTCTGTCAGGATGATTGCGTAGGCACGGATCTCAATCACGTACCGTTTTTTCTCGTAGCGTTAGGACGGGTGAGCAGGAGGGAACCCATCTGGAGCAGTTGATTAGCCGCGAGTTGGTTGTAGTATTGCCCTTATATATATATATATATCATTCGTGAGTACTTGGGTAACCTCTTTCTCTCTGGTGCATTGATGACTCTGGCTCTTTGGCCCCGACTGCGAAAGTCCTTCGGGTACAGGATGAGGCTGATGCGCACCGAGGGACGATCAAGAAAGGCTTTGTGTGTAGTGTTCTCGCATATTGCGGACCATATTGCCATTGCACGGTACCGCTTCAAGGAGGATCCTGGAACAAACCGAGAATGAGATTAATGATAGAAAGACCATAGACGATATAACGCCTTCAAGAGAGCACCCTGGTCCCTGCGCGGGACTGAACAGCAACAGGGACGGTTTGCAGCCCAATGTCCCTATCAGTGCGTATCAAGACCAAGCCTACACAAGGGAGCGTACACCAATGACAATCCAAGGTCTTGCTGAGCGAAGCAGGTCTGGTCCGCCTGGCATGTCAATGAAATGCCAGCATACCCCTCCGATGTCTCATCCGCTGCGGCGGTAGAACACAAACGATCGAGCTACAACCATTCGTAAGTATTGCTGTGGCAATCTGTTTCTGTCTGTGGGCCGCCGGCGCTACGACAACGGGGCGACGCCACAAATGATCAGCTTTCAAGATTTCTATGTTGGTTGGACTAGGAGACTCAGCGTAGCCAAACTCAAGGACGTGGCAGCTACGAGGTCTAGGCGAGGGGTGGGCGGGCACCATGTTGTTGGAGCCTCCAACGCGATTCATTCCGAACGACCACGGCTTCTGTCCCTCCGCACCAGTAGACATTCAAGGTGATGGGAAAGTTTCAATTAGTTTGCATACTACAGCAGATCAGAATAGGTGCAGGAAGAGTGTAATGGGTGGTACGAAGAAAAATACTGTATAGGGCAGGGCCACTGCCAGAGTGTACGTCGGGAGAGAGCGCCCGTCGCTCGGGACCGGAAATTTGGGGCCGGCCTTTACAACCGTGACAGTAGAGGCCAGTGAATCGTTGGGTACGTCGCTCGCGGTAATCCCTTGAGCAAGCGAATGTTGATTACCGCCTAGTTCTGAGAGCTTCTTAGGAGGCAGGTATGTCCAGGGGAGACCCAGTCCGACTGACCCTCTAGCTTCAGGGAGCGAATGGCAGGTGAATGACACATTTAGATGTCGAAGAGAGCTCGGGAAGGACCCAGTTGGAACGTTCGTAGATGTCTATCTCGACATCCAGGTGCAGCTCCTATAGTATTGGCAGGGCGGCCGAGAATTCAGACCGCAACCTCTCGAGATTGTTGATGGTGCTCCAGCCGGACACACATCCGTCTGCTAAGCATGCTCTACAAGTAGACGAGAGGTTGCGACCATGCTCCTGGAATTGTGGACATGCAGAAGCACAGTGGTTGGTAGGACGAGACGGTGTTTCAGCCACTTCACCGAACAGTCGACGTCGATGGTATGTCATAGAAGACGAGTTTCGTACGCGACGCGCTAGGTGTGACTGCGAGCCATATGGTCAGTAATCGTCATAACTGCTAATCATGATTAGCAGCAAAGCGGAGTGTACAGATCTTCTTCACGCTGTACCAAGTACAACTGCGGCGCCGTCACGATGGGCGTGGCAGGACCGCGAGCTCTTAATTGATGTAAGGTAGTGTCAAGGGAGATAGATACATTGGCAAGGGATTGACTGTCCGCCTGCGGCCAGAAACCTCAAGGTTAGGCAGGTTTCTGACATCGTGGACTTCAAGTGCGGGGTTCGAAGATCGGAACGAGTGGCTAGGGTAGGCGTGAGACTGTAACTGATCTGCAGCATAGGACGCATTATGCAATCAAGCAGGTACGAGAGTATGTCTAATCCGGAGTCCGTAACACATCTAAGGGATCCAGCGTGGTTGTATGCTACAGAAGTAATCTCCGTCCGAAAACGCGAAGATCATGGTCGTAGAGGGAAGGAGACAATCCAATAGATCCATGAGATTCTAAAGGGACTGTCTATACCTACGCCATCAACGTCTTCGCTCGCGTTTCATACGATCCGCCGCGGAGGGCGCGGTCTGCCCGGGCTGTTCAGTATCCGTCGTTGGATGTGGTTGCACAACAACGGAACTCGAGGAAGAAAGCGCTGTGGTAGGGAACACGCTTGATACAGATGAAGAGGACGTGAGAGTAACGACAGAAGTTGCGGAGTTCGAAGCAGTTGTGTTTGTCGATGAGATAGGCAGGGACAAGGGTAGAGACAAGGACAGGGACAAGGCAGACGTCAAGCTACCAACGTCGGCGGTTGGCAGCGTAAGGAGTGCAGAATTAGACGTCGACGAGCTCTCCAAGAACGTCGAGGTAAGGGATTTGGTGACGGAAACAGGCGGGGCCGTAGTGACGACGAGAGAGCTTGGGGGCTCATCTGAACCATCGACGTTGTCCGGATTGAAGATAGTGATGGGACCACTCCAGCTGGAAATATCGCGGTCCTCACGAGAGAACACTTGACAGAGACAGAGCAAACAGCAGCGTGAATTAGAAAGCAGTTGTGATACAAGGGGAAGAGTGAACACACGATAAAGTGTATAGTCGTCTCTCGTGGGTACGGAGGGTACCATGATGTTGGCGAATCTGTCTGAGATAGGGAACCAGTCCGAGATTTCTGACAGGAAGCCACCACTTAGTCCATCGGCGCGCAGACAGCGTAGCACAGTACTCACCACCGAGAAGTACATGTCCATCCGTGCCTCCGCCAGAATACGATAGCATGAATACCGCCGTGATGTTCTCCCCTTTGTCATCCGTGACCCGAACGCCGTCCAAAGTCCTACAGTTACGGCCAGAAGTCAACGCGCTTCAAGACATCCGCAACGAAGTTCTAGTAGACGTACCATTGTACAGTATGTAACTCTCCGACCTGCCACGTCTCACCCGCGTGCGGTGCGACAATGGATGTTCCATGCTTGTATTCTGGATAGTCACCTCCCATCGCGACTAAGGCGAAGCATGCCACCGCTCCTGCGATCCCAATGACGGCAGCGATCCTAGTAGAGATCTTGTATGCTTGGGATCGGAAAGACGTCTTCATGGCTCGAACATAGGGATGATGTGTGAGAGAGGACGTCGCAGATGACGGCGACGACGTGAAAGGAGGCCGCTCATCCGTGCTACGGCCGGGGAGGCCCCGTCCGAGATTTCCTTGACTTCGCTCGTCTGTAGACAAGATTAGCAACAGTTTCCGGGTTCCGTTCACGGCCCACGACAGGCCGCCTGGTAAAACGTATTCGCCAGTCCGCTTCGTAGCACTTAGCGATGCTTAGTACGCGCTTGGCCAACGCCGATGCGAGCGTGAAGAACTGAGAATCGAGGGGATTGCGCATATCGCGACTCCGAGAAGCAACACCGCCACCTCATTATGCGTCTACCCGACTCTGGTCGAGCGGCGTGTTCCGGTACCCATTGTCCGAGGCCGTGCAAAGTGAGACCTTTGAGTTTCATGGACACTCGATTCCAGTGAATACTCCCACAACTTTCCGTCCCATAATGCGCTATCAGTAGACCGTGCATTGGGGCTAGTATGTAATTCCTTCTTTCCGTCATTCACCCTCAAACTTCAGATCTTCAGAAGCCGGCCTGCGCCGCCTCGCGCTCCGCCAGACTGCCTCGAGGCGCCCACTCATGCTTGTGCGTGTGCAACGCCTCCTCCTGGTCCGCGGGTGAGCCCCATGCTCCCGCCCCAGGTGTCTCAATAAGCAACCGGTCGCCCTTGCCCATGAACACCGTCGCCTTCCCCCCGATGTTGATCTTTCTCGGCTTCAGCGGTTCCTTCCTCACCTCCACCTCTTCCTCGGGGAAGTCCCCGTCCTCCTTCCTCGGCTGCTTCACCCACGTGTTTCTTCCCAGCGCACCAGGCTCGCCGCCCTCCATCCCGTATGGCTGCCGCGTGCGGCGCTCGGAGAGGATAGAGACCTGGAGCGGCTCGAGAAACTCGATCTCGCGGACGACGCCGTCGCCACCGCGGAAGCGGCCCTTGCCGCCGGAGCCCTCGCGGATGCCGAACTGGTGCACGACAACGGGGTAGCGGCGCTCGAGGATCTCGACGTCGCCAATGCGCGTGTTGGTAATGTGCGTGTGCACGCCGGAGGTGCCGTGCCAGGTCGGGCCTGCACCCGAGCCGCCTGCGATCGTCTGTGACGCGGGTGGAAAGGGAAGAGGGTATTATCTATACGTGCAAAGACGAGGCATGAGTAGGAGCATACCTCGTAATAACCCCAGCCGGTGACGTTGGTGCCGTCCTTGTCCTTGCCTCCTGCGCCGAACGTCAGATTGCTGTTGTGATCATGAGCATGAGCATGGAGGTGATCCGAACAGCAACGGGCGGTGTCATTACTCACTTCGTGCACCCTTGACTGGCAGCGCAGGCGTGGAACGCATGCAGGACAACGTCGACAATACGCTGCGACGTCAAAACATTGCCGCCGCAGACTGCGGCAGTCTTTGACGGGGCAAGGAGCGAGCCCTCGGGTATCTTGACTAGATGCTGCATTGACATGATATCTCTCCAACTATCTTCTAAGCGGACTCACCAGTGATGGGCACCAAACATCCGGCGTTAAGGGGGATGTCCATATCGAGCATGGCACGCATGCAGTAGATGACAGCAGAGTGCACGACCGAAATGGGCGAGTTCAGGTTCCCCCGGATCTCGCATCCGGTGCCCTCAAAGTCCAGAACGGCAGAGCCGTTCTTCTCATCGATCTCCACCTTCAATCGGATCTGCATAGGTACATAGTCAGCAAACTCTTGCGCACTCGAAGCGAAACGTGGTGCATACAGGCGATCCGTCGTCTAGGTAGTCGACCGCCTCGAGGACGTTCGTGCCGGCGCGCTTCGCAACGTCGCGAAGGAGGTTGCGCACCGAAGACTCTGCGTTCGCGCGGATGTGGTACATGTACTCCTGCACGGTCTCCAAGCCGTAATCGTCGACAACTTTGAGAGCATGCATTCAGCAAGTGATGCGCACAGCAAGTGCCGCAAAGCTTACTCTGCTGGATGAGCTGGATACCCTTGTGGTTTGCTGCGATTTGCTACCATAGAAGTTGGTGACCCGACCATGCGGCAGCCGCATACAAGGGAGTACATACCGCCTTCAAGTCGCTCTCCACGTCCCTCAGGTTCCTACACCCCGAGCTTCCGGGGTATCGTGCCGGCTTCTCAACCATATGCTCCTCCAAGCCCTTCTTGTCGAACACGCCGTCGTTCACGATCTTGAAGCTTACGATGTTCGCGCCCTCCTCGAAGATCGTCGTCGACGTCGGCGGCATCGACCCGGGCAGGATCCCCCCAATGTCCGCGTGGTGCCCGCGCGATGCGGTAAAGAAGATGATCTCCTTCGGGTCAGTTTCAGAGTCGAAGACGGGGGAGATGATCGTGATGTCCGGGAGGTGCGAGCCGCCGGCGTGCGGGGAGTTTGTCATGAGGACGTCCCCAGGCTTCAGGGTCTTGCCGTGCAGCTTCATCTGGTACTTAACCGCGCTATAGTAAGCGGGAGAGGGTTCAGCGTATGCTAGACAGGGCGGGGAGGAGGACAAGAGGGAGCACGGTAACATAGACATGGACTCACAAGCTCATGGACCCGAGATGGATGGGGATGAACGGCGCATTCGCGACGAGATCCCCGTCCGGCGCAAACAGGGCACACGAGAAGTCAAGTCGCTCCTTGATGTTTGTGCTGATCGCGGTTTGCTGGAGAGACCGACCCATCGCTTCCGCAACGCTCATGAAGCGGTTTGCGAAGAGCGTGAGGAGGATAGGGTCGGGCGGACTGTACTTCTTTGCTTGTTCGGCCATCGTTGCTGCTGTATCAGGGTTGGATTCAGGTTATAGCACAAGCGATGAATGGGTGTTCTGCGAGGATGCGTATATCTAGACTCTCGTGAGTCAGTCGCAAGCTGGGGAAAGCGCTGTTCTTGCGCGATTAGGACACTCACGGCGTCCCGATGGGTTTATCGCTGCTCCGCGCCCAACAGGTCTATCGTGGCCCTTGAACAAGCTATACGGTCTCCTCTGCTGTCCCCGTTCAGAACGAGGGACGAGTGCATTGTGTGCCATCGTGAGGTTGGGAGATATGACGAAGGAGGAGGTCACATGCAGAGACGCGCCGCGCGCAAGCGGACGCGATCCCGTCGCAGCCGCGTCGACCTTCCCGACGGCCATCCTCTCCCTCCCTCCCCCTCGGCCTCAGCCTCTCCCGTCATTGCCCTGAAGACATGGGCGACTCAGCGACGCTAACGTCCGTCCTCGAGACGCAAGCCTCACTCGTGCAAGAAGCCGCGCTTGCCCTCCCGCACCAGTTCTCCCAGTGCACCTACCCCCTCGGGCCCATTCGCCAAGCCGTTTACCTCTGCATCACCTGCACGCCCCCCAATTCAACTACCACACCCGCGCGGGGGATCTGCGCGGCGTGCTCGATTGCGTGTCACACCGACCATGAGCAGCTCGAGCTCTTCCCGAAGCGCGCGTTCCGGTGCGACTGCCCCACGCACGGCCTCGCGCACGCGTGCGCGCTCCATACGACGGAGGAGCCCGTGAACGAAAGTAATGAGTACGGGCGGAATTTCAGGGCGATATTCTGCAGGTGTGGGAGGGAGTATCACGCGGAGCAGGAGAGGGAGACCATGATCCAATGTGTCGCGTGTGAGGTGCGCTTGGCCGGGTTGCGCAAAGCTCATGCTAACGTTTTCTGCCCCTTCTGTACGCATATCATCGTTGTGCGCCATGCCACATACAGGATTGGTTCCACGAATCGTGTCTGAACCTCCGCGAACGCCCGTCCTCGCGCGAGCCCACACCGTCCCCTGCAGCTGAAGCCGACCCCGAAGGCCTAGTGGACGACGGCGCGTCCGACGCGTCCTCGTCCGGTCTACCCCCGCCACTAGTGCGCGCAAACGAATACGACGCGCTCGTATGCAGCGACTGCGTGCGCAAGGTCGACGCCCTCGGCAAGGTCGCGGGCACCCCTGGCGCGCTCATGGTCGTACGTTCCTCTGAAGTCGAGCCCTGGCGTGTCATCGGCGCCATAGATAAGGAGAACGCGCAGGTCGACATCGAGGGCAAGGATGCGCAACGGGATACGAGTGGGCAGAAAGGGGAAGAGCCTAGCGCGGGCGCGAAGCGGGAGCGAGATAGCGCTACGGATGCCGAGCCGTCTGCGAAGAGGGCGCGCCTATCGCCCGATGTCGACTCTGCGCCATGCCTCGCTCCTGCACAAGACCCTCGCGTAGAGGCGTTGCTTGTTGCGCTTGACCGTGGGGCAGATGAGCTGGCTGTCAAGGAGGACGGGGATTCTTCGGAGGGATCTGAAAGATACCTCGGGGCTGGCGACGTCTTCCTTACAGAGGGCTGGAGGGACCGCTGGTGCCAGTGCAAGAGCGTAAGAACCGACCTATCCGGTGTTCTGCGTTGTTGCTGACCTCATCCTGCCAGTGCCTGCCGTCACTGCAAGCCCGTCCGTACCTGTTGGACGAAGAGGAGACGTACGAGCCACCAGAGGATCCTGACTCCGGTGAGTTGCGGAGTGTCTGCGCGTCTTGTAGTCACGAGCTCACAGCGCCTTCCGGAATCCGTAGGCCTCTCTCTGGAGGAGCTCGGAATGCGTGCCCTCAACTGTCTACCCCGTGAGCGAGCAATTGACGGCATCATGGCGTTCAATGCTATGCGGTGAGTGTTTGCTTGCAGACTCGTCGACAGTCATGCTAATCTGTATGCACGTAGGGACGACCTCATGCAGCACCTCCGGCCTTTCGCAGAGCGTGGAACTGAAGTGACCGAGGCAGACATCCGGGGATTCTTTGACGCGCGGATACAGGAGCTCCAGTCGAGGCGTCGGGCCCAGTGAGCCTGACAGAGACGGATCGTTTCTTGACATTGATATTTGTATGTATTGCTATAGGTATACGTTAGGACATTGACCCGCACCATGTCCGGAGCTCTACAAGGACTACCGGAGCGTTCCGTAGATGACTGAAGATCGGAACTGTTCCCCCGAGAATTTGAATGCGACGGCCGACATGTGAGGATTTTCGGGCGAGCAGTCGTCAGACGACAATTTCTATCGTCACGAAAAGATAACAATCTGCAAGCTACCTTCTGGGGGACGAGATGCTACGTACACAGGAAGCTCTGGTCATAGCTCCCACTCGCGGTCAAAGTCTGATACCACGACGAGACCATTCACCAAGTGCTTTAGTACTTTCAGCCTTGACCCTCCCTTCGGCAGAGCCTGCCCATCCTCCTCAAACTCCTTTTCCAGAGCCTGCCCATCCTCCCCACTCTCCTCTTCATCTTTAACGACGCCATTAAAATGGATGCGCACATCGTCTAAGTTCTCCGCACCGCCCACAACGCGAGACCACAAGCACCGCTCGATATCGTCCGCCATCTCATCATACCAGAGGACGTAGTCCAGCCGCAGGACCCGCAGGTTCGTCATAGGCACCCCTCCCTTCCCGGACCGCAATTTTGGCACCGCAGCAGAGCTCCACGCCTCGGACGCCATCTCCCCCCCGGCCAGTGCGGACAGGAACTCGCAGATGGCGTCTCGCTGCGGCACCCTCCCCGACCGCTTGCAGTCGAGCGCCAGCTCCGTCAGGGCCGGGAACGCGCGGAGCACCTCCAGGAATCCCCGCAGGCTCGGACCGCAGGCCAGCGTGAGTGTTCTCAAGGGCGCCCGGCCCAGGTAGTGGCGGAACTCCGCAAGCGCGCGGTCCTCCTGGTCCGTCGTCTCCTTGTCCAACCAACACCACATGCCCACCGGGTCGATGTCGACCCTAAGCCGACCCTTCAGCTCAGGCTCTGTGAGGCTGACGCCCCTCTGATCTGACGTCGTAGACGCAGGACATCGGCACTCGAAGCACGACGGATCCCCCCAGGTCGCTTCGATCGCCTTCTCTAGATGCCGGATGCACGACGGGTCGTTGGGGAGGCAGTCCCCGTAAGGGCTCGCCTTTGCATTGACGATCTCCAGGAAGAAGTCGCAAGACTCCGGCACTCGAATGTGTTCCAGGACGGGGCGTATCTCGTCTACTTCGTCGTCCTCTTCCTCTTCCGCTTCCCGCCCTGCGCCAGCGATGACGAGACTGCGGAGGTTCGGCCACGAGATGAGGCGGTCTGAGCGCACATGCTGGTTGTCCCACTCGAACCCGTAGGGCATGGCCTTGTAAAGGACGATGTGCTCTAGAGAGGGGCATGCCTCCAAGGCGTCCAGTAAGTCGCTGAGCGGAAACCTACGAGTGGACGCTAACGTCCACTTCAGTTCCAGGGTGTGAAGGTGTCGAGGAAGTGGGAACGTCCAAGGAAGACCCACGCCCACAACCTTGAGGGTGCGAATGGCCGGAAGACGACCGGGGTCGACGTCAAGGAGATGTGGGAGGACGAGATCAAAGCTAGACATAGAGGACGACGCATTCTCTACGTCAACATTCAAATGTAGCTCCTCCAGGATTGGCAAAGTGATCGAAAACAGGGGCTCCAGCTTGTTGAGACTTTCGATGGTTTCCCGACCAGACACGCGGAGCCTCTGAATCCGACCTGCATGTTCTATCAGTAGACGAGACGCTGCGGCCATCCTACTAGGGTTGTGGAGACGCAAACGCAGCGGTACCGTTCCGGATAGAATGAGGCATCGTTGCAGCCACTCCAGCGAACGGTCGATGTCGACGGTGCGCCACAGAAGAGGAGTTGCGTACGCGACGTCGCGCCAGTAAGAGCAGACCCGTGTGACTGCGAGCCACTGGGTTGTTAATCGAAGATCTGCTTCACCCCACTCATCTTCCTCTTGCTCTTCCTCCTGCACTTCCTGGAAGACCCGTGAGAGCAACTCTGGAGGAAGCGTGTCGATGGAAGAGACGATAGGAAGACTTGGGTGAGGCAAGTACATGAGGCGCTCCGGCTCCTCCACCCAGATCCAGGCGGAAAAGAGGGAGTGATAATGCTGGTCTGTACCATGTCAGAGTTGGTCAACGCCAGTATGGAGTCTGAGCCGCGTACTGTTGTCATCCGCAGAGGTAGGATCGGCGAGCGGAGGAAAATCCATTCGGGGCAGTCAATGAGCCCCAACGCTACTTGTGTACTGTTTCTTAAATACCGCCAGGATCCTTTCTTGCAATCTGGCTGTGTAGTGGCGATTGGGAAGGTCTCTTTGTTTCTGGAGGAGGCTACATCACACCAAGGGACGGTGAACAAGGGCATTGTACGTATGATCCTTAGTCGCACGGCATTCTGCAGGAGCTGGCATTGTATTGAGGCACTTGGAAACCCTTGGAAGAAAGAACAAGGCAGATTGCCCGCACGCACCGAAGGATGGCAACCTGAGTAGCTCTGCGTGCGGTCTGGGGCGGGCGGCAAGGAGAGGAGGAAGCGCCGGTGTTTTGGCCCGAGCGCGCGAAAGTGGCTAAACACGCGGAGATCATGTGACCGCTGAGAGCACGTGGGTGGAGTTGTTGATTGCTGGGAGGGTTGAGCTGAGGGCCAGCCACGCTCCGGAGCCCCGCCCATCTTGAACCAACACCGCAACCATCCCCTCCCTTTCAGCCCCCTCCCACAAAACACAACCCCGCGCGTAGCATACAATGCCTCGTAAAGCCGCTCCAGCTGCAGACACCAACGCTGAGCCTCGCCGCTCCGCGCGCATCAAGGACCAGCCCAAGCCTGAGACCGCCCCCAAGAAGGCTCCAGCTAAGCCGCGCTCCAAGAAGGCCCCCGCCGCAGAGGGCGAGGACAAGCCTAAGCCCACCAAGGGCAAGAAGCGCACTGCCTCGGAGAAGGATGCCGAGGATGGCGCCCCCGAGGCCAACGGCGAGGAGCCCCCCGCCAAGAAGGTGCGTCCCCGTCGTCCTCCGGCGCCCTCAACCACGCTCCTAAATCTACGAACAACACGCTGACCACCGCGTCAGGTCAAACCTGCCTCTAAGGCTGCTGCGAAGCCCGCAAGCAAGGCCGCCGGGGCGAAGCCCGCGTCCAAGGCGTCTCGTGCGGGGTCGGCCAAGCCGGCGTCGCGCGCTGCGAGCGCGAAGCCCGCGTCCAAGGCATCTGCGAAGCCACCATCTTCTGCTGCAAAGAAGCCCGCATCGCGTGCAGGCTCCAAGAAGCCGGCGTCCAAGGTACGTGGTTTGCACCGTGGTTGGAGTTCGGTCGGTGGGCTGATCGCTTTCTTTCGGCTTGCGCATAGGCCGGGGCTGCTGAAAAAGAGAACGCTGCCGCCGCCGCACCCGAGACCATCGCGGAGGAGCCAGAGGCCGAGGATGCCGCAAACGCAGAGCCCGCGACCGAGCAGGCAGCAGCGGCCTGAGATGATGTGTGAGTCTGGTGCTTGTCTTCACGTCTGTGAGCATGAAACTGACCATGACGTGGCTTTGCACCTGCAGTGCATGAACGACTCGCCACCAGGGCAATTATGCACTCTATTCCGTCATCCACCTCCGCTGCTATCGACGTCTCGCTTTTTATCTCTTCTATTTAACCGAGCTGCACCCACCGGAACTATAGCCCACCCCGTCCGATCCCCCCCAGATATCCTCATTTACCTCCCCTTCAGCGCTGTGATCCCTCTTCCCCCCCTCACTCTGTTACTTGGTGCCGGTTTGCGTGTATCGTCTCCTGGTGACTTTCTCTGTACATAAGAACTCATGTTGGGACCGCGTCTTCCATTGTGTCCTTTTTTCTTCCTCTCTTCAGTCGTGTCGTTCGTGTCGTCCGTTGTTGTCCGTCGTCATCGCATTGCTGCTTGTCGTACCCGCTGCCCACGCTGAGTTGGTACATGTACGTTGCGCTGTTATATCACTAGTAGCGATTGGTTTCCCCAGCCGTGTCTATCCCTCTGTCTGTAACAATGTAAACGCGGCTCTTTCTTCCGGCGGATCTGCGAACGGCTCGAATTGGAGACGCCTCTCGCCTCGAGTACTCGCTGCGTTGTGGTGCCATGAGGCGTATGCTGTCATCTGAGGAGCTTTTAAGTTCGGCTCGGAGGTCCTGCGAACCTGCAGAAGCTGCACTGATGAATATTGGCCCTCTCGATCGTGGTCTAGAGTGCTACAACGACAGAAGGAGAATTTTCTATGAATCGTCATTAGGTAAAAGTTCGTGAACGGGGTACAAGTACAACATGCGTGAGATCCAGGGTAACAACATTGGAAACATGCTACGAAAGCAGCAGAGCATTGCGGAGACGATAGAGTCTATCTGACAGTATGCACCGTCCGTACGACCATCCAGAATGAACCATCCACGGGTCACCAGCTGTTGAGCAGCGTCTGCGCACACTCCTGCGCGAAAGAATGCGTCAGTCAGATAGCGGAGAGAAAAAGGCACAAAACCACGTACCTTCAGCCTCCCCATCCCATGCGCGAGCGCGACGTTCACGACCGTTCTCAGCCTCCTCCGGACGTCCGCCTTGTTCATCGTGAGCACGAACGCGCCCGAGCACCCGCAGTGCCGCGACACGTTGTCCGCCCGCACCTGGCTGCACCGCGCGCACCGCAGGTCCTGCTGCGCGAACCGCCGCTCGAGCTCGTGCACGAGCCGCACCAGCGCGAACTCGATGCCCGCCCGGTCGTACTCCCCGCCGCACTTCGTGCAGAGCCACCGCGCTTGTGCGTGCGCGCTCGCGTTGCCGGAGGAGGAGGAAGAAGAGGGGAGGAGGACGGGGTCGCGGCAGAAGTCGAAGTCCTTCATGCTGTCGCAGTGGCGGCACGGCACGGCCGAGAGCTTGAGCGGCTCGCACGGGTTGACGAACGCGGCCTCGGACGCGAACTCGCGCACGCCGACGAGGTCGAGCAGGTTGCGCTTCAGCAGCCCCACTTCGAGCGTGTACTCCTTCGCGAGCGCGAATACCGCACAAGTGAACTTGACCAGCTCCAGCCCAGGGTTGCTTAAGGGCAGGTGCGATCCTGGGAGGATGGGGAACTCCCACTGCGCGAGCGCGGACGGGTCTTCGTCTGTGAGTGCATCGCGGTGCCTGTCGAGAACGCCACCGAGTACGCGGAGCATGCGCCGAGTGAGCTTGCGGGAGACGAACTCCCGGCATGCGGAGAGTTCCTCGACCTTGGCGGCGTCGCGGGGCGTTGCGTCTGGGGCGCCCCCATTTTGGAGCGCACGAAGGGGCACGCGGGTCGCGCCCTGGCTCTTTTGTGCGGTGCGGAAGAACTCGACGAGGAAGTACCGGACAACGGCGCGGAAGTCGGCCTGGATGGCGGGGGGAAGGAAGGACTGAATGTTCCAACGCATCTCGATCGCGAGCTCTTCGGGGGGCTCGATGGCAAGAGGATTTTCGCAAACGACGGCGCCGTAATTTGCTTCGTCCATGAAGATGAGGAAGTCGTAGAAGCGCTCAGTGTGGAGGTAGACATGTTGGAAGAGCTCGTGCGAAGTCACGGCTGTCGTGATGTACGTGGCATAGGCGTGCGCGGTACCGGGAGGTTTGGACGTGACGAGAAGGATCCGGCTCAGGTCCGCGTAGACAACGTGCGATCCGAGGCGCTTGAACTCGGCGAGCATCTGAATGAATGTCTTGCGCATGAGGCCATGGACAAACCGGTGGATGCCCGTGTCGTACATGTTCGACGCCGTCGAGCTGATCCACCTCCAGAAGTGGTCGATCGCGATCGTGGCGGGGCTCTCGAAATTGCCCTGGATCTTATCCACCATCCAAGCTTTGACCAAGCCCTTGAGAATGCTGAAGATGTGTGGAGAAACGTTGGATTCTCCAAGCGTGAGATCCTGCATGGACTCGCCCTTGGAGTACTCGTCCAATGTCCGAGACGCGTCAAAGGCCGTAGCACCGCCGCTGCCTTCCAACTCGTTCACGATGACCGAGTGCAAGACCGCATCGACGGCCAAGTTGCGGACAGCGATCTCGAGGCAGACATTTGAGTAGCACCCTGGCGACTTGAATTCAGTTTTCGCCAGCTCTTCTTGCGGACGGTTGTCCTCTTCGATGCCACCTAGGTCAGGACGATCACCAGGTGACCACCAGAGAATGACATCTTGGCTCGTCAGCCTGCGGGCGAACTCGATATCGGCTAGTAAGAGGGGCTGGTCACCCTCGATATGCCCGACGGGCACGTCGTAATAGTCTGCCATCGCGATGGTCCGGTCCAGCCAAGGTCCCAGGGATAGGTAGCGGTTGATGAGCTTCTGCGCTACGCTCGTTTGCCAGGGGAAGACATCCAAGGAGTGCGGTGATTTTGCTTTCGACATCGAGAGAACCGGGAACTTCGCGAGCTTGGGAGTATGTAAGTCAAAATAGCTCTGCTCCTTACTCGAGGAGATGACTACGATGTATGACCGGTTCTCGACGAGACCCAGCTCGCGGGAGATCGCCTTGAGCGCCGTGGCATCGTTCCCGTGGTAAGTGGTAGTGAAAGAAAGATGATCAGGGTAGGTGTATGAGTGGCTTGCGCCTGCGTTTTGCTCGTGCTTGCTCAGCAGATCAGCATAGTGTTCGGAGAGACGAGGTATGGGTTGTCGACGTGTCGCAGGGTCGACTATGTGCAGTTTGGCGACTTCGCCGGGTATGAAGAGAGCAAAGACGTGCACAGGTGCATTCGCAGCGCACGCGTGGTATAAGAAGATATACTTCCCAGCGCGACCTTGATCAAGGTATCTCCTCTTCGTCAGAGAGGGGTTCGAACGACCTAGCTGCTGGAGATCAAAACCGATTGCCTCGGCGCGAGTGAGGTTCGTGGACTTGTCCTCATTACAACATGTCTTGCCCAGCTTCAGAATCGCGCGCGTGACTAGTGGCAACTGGGAGGGAGTATGAAAAGGCAAGAACGACTCGCAAGACTAATCAATGCATACCTGCAGCTCATAAACGCCATCCACGTTCGGGTCGTTGGTGATGTCGATGAAGTGTTCGTGCCCCTCGACGTACAGATCCTCCCGCACAGAGATCTTGTAGAGGTTGACGCACGGCCGGTCTCGCGGCATGCTCCTGGCAACCTTCTGGCACTGGTACAGCTCATGGTTGAACTGATCCTTCTTGGGTGGAGTCCGAAGGTGGATGTAGAACTCTCGGGGAATTCTAAGTGGGACGGCCGTGAGCGACCCATTGATCGAGAGCCACAACGTGAACCGTCCTGGCGTCCTATTAGGGCGGATCTGTACGATGTCCCAGTGCGTGCTCTGCTTCTGACGGACCCCACGGAACATTGCGGGCACGGCGAGGCTTGTAGCAGCGTCCGAGTTGTCGACCCCACGACCTGACCACCGTTTCCTCATGACGTGCAGCCAGGAGCGGTAGGACTGTTTCGGGTCGCGGGGTAACTCCGCAAACTGTGACTCTTCCGCCTCTGCGCTTTCCTCTCTTCGCGGCTTACGCTTCACGACCGCCATAGGGCGGAAACCACGCGGGCGCTGGGCCATGCCATCCTCCATATCGACGTCGTCGTCCTCCCTTTGAGATTGCGTCTGCGCCAACTCACCCTCCCCCGCACGCTTGAAGAAGTCCGTCACCTTATGTTGGCGGAACTTGTCCTCCATCGCGACAACGCGGCGGTGGAGCCAGTCCGGGTGGTGGATGCGCGGGACCGGGTTCGCGACCTTCTGCATCGCAGCGGGAATCGTGATGAGCTTCTGGATGACCGAGCCCAGGCGCTCAATGTAGTAGTCCCAGTCGAGGATCGAGCGCAGATCGAAGCTCGTAAGCGAGTTGTCCTTTAGCCACTTGCGCAGATACGTCCGCTTCACGCTCTCCTCCGCCGAGAAGATCGCGACAGGCACCGCGCGTTCAGTGACTGGGGCCCCCATCGGCTTCGCAGAGATGATGAACTTGCACGCCAGTCCCTTATCCTTGACCATCTGGTCACCCAAGAACTCGGCGAGGCGCCGCGCCGTGCTGATCGACGTCGACTTCTGGCCCCCGTACTCGGAGAGCGTCTTCGACATGGACCGGTTCTCCGCGATTAGCTCCACGAGCTCGTCGTCCGAGAGGTCCTCCGCGTGGGAGACGAGGACGTTGAGCCAGCGGTCTGCCACTTCCGCGACCGCCGCATAGCACTCCTCGAGAGTCGTGCCCAGCAGGAACTTCTCGAAAATCTGGCTCTGGAAGATCTTGATCAGCTGGAGTTCACCCCGCCGCTTCACCTCGAACCCCTTCAGCTCCGCGAGCGAACCGTCGTCGTTGAACACCGCATACCGCTTCTTCAGCAGCTTGTCCTCCTCCTTCGACGACGGCAAGATCATCGCCTTGTACGGCCCGTCCAGCTCGAAGAAGATCGAGTTTTCCGAGTGCACCTTATATTCGCCCGTCTCGGGGTCCAGTTCGTGGTACTGGTGGTTCGTGAACTTCGCATGGACGAGGTGGTTGAGCATCGTGCACGGGTATGAGAACGCGATCGCCTTCCCGTTCGCGAGCTTGAACTTGAAGTTCTCCGGAAACACCCCGGGCAGCATGCACCAGATCCCGTCCGTGTCCAGCTCCAGCGGCCGACCAATCTGCTCGACGAGCTGCCGCGCCATCTGGATGATCGTCGCCCCAGTCAGACACGTTATGCCCGCCATCTCCATCGAGTGCCAGCGCGCGCCCTTGCGCATCACGTAGCCGTAAAACGAGTTCAGGATACACTTGTGCGCCAGCTGCAGCGAGTCGTACAACACGATCATCTTCTTCGCCTCGTCCACCTCCGCAATCGACCGGTGCTCCCCCACGTATGCGTCCAGATTCTTTTTCCACGTCTTGTGCAGGCCCTTGTACTCGTAACGCCGGTCCCGGAACCGGCGCACCGTGTCGATGTAGAACGGATTCTCCCTCTGGCAGATGATCGCCTCCCTGTTCTCTATCTTCGTGTCCTTGATCTTTTTGTACACACGCCTTGAGTAGTCCCCCAAGCGCTTGTGCAGCAGCGCCGTCTGCTCCGCCTCAGAAAGGTCGACAAACTTGCGTTGCGGACCCCCGGGCTTCTTAGGGGGAAACGTCTCCTGGTTCAGTGCGTGCTTGATCATGTTATACTCGTCTCTGCGCGCAGGGAAGTACTCCCCACGCCACGCCCACGTCATCCGGCGGTCGCAGGTCTTGCCCGGCCGGTTGAAGTCGCAGACCGCGCACGTCGCCTCGTCGACCACCGAGTCGGGCTGCAGTCGATTCGACAACATGATGTTCGGGTACATCGCCGCGACGTCCAAGTGGTAGATGAGCGGACTGTCCATGCGCTGCGGGTTATCGCGCATCTCTTCAAGCTTGGCCTGGATCTCCGCCTTGACCTCGTCGTAGTTCGTCACCGACTCGAGCGATGCCTTCGACTCTTCGACGATACAGAACGTGAGCGCCGCGTCCAGCTGGTCGATGAGCTGCGCGCTTTGTGAGCATTGTAGTTTCACTCGTGACGCTAATAGACTACGTACCTGCTGCACGGCAGACGGCTCGATCTTGAAGTGTGTCACAATGTCACTTCGGAACACGCCCGCCTCCAGAGCCTCGACGTGGCCTCCTACATACGTCTCCGACGCGACCAGATGTCCTTCATACATCGTCCCGTGAGACTCCTCATGCCGGTTCGGCATGATAATCTGCCCTCGGATCGCTTCCACCTTCGAACAGTCAGACCAGAAGTCATAGCTGACGAGAGCAGACAGCCTACCATGAGAAGCGTCTCACAAAGCGTCCCAGTGCCTTTCCGCAAGACCTCGTCCGGGCAGAGCGGAATGATGTTGCAAAGGGAGAAGATGAACGGGTGCACGTATTTCATGTAGAGATAGTATGTCGCCACCGCATCGGAGACGGAGTACTGCGCGAGCACCTGCGGCTGCTCCATCGCGTACCTTCACAACAATTACCAATAAGCACCGCGGCCGAACGACGTGGTAGAAGGAATACATACGGCGTCATCAACTCGGGGTCGAGCTCGATAGGGTCGTACCCCAGCTTCGCCGTCGTCACCGCCTTCAAGCCCTGGCTGCCTTGCGGGAGGTACGAATCGCGCTTCACCCACCGGAAGCAGTCCATATGCACGCATCCCCTGCTCTTGTACTCGTCCTCCGAGTCCTTCGCGAAGCCAGACTCGAGGAACATGTCGATCCCGTGGACCTTCGAGCGCGCGTCAAGGAACGGGAAGTCGAAGAAGTCGCCGTTGAACGTCGCCATCACCGTCGGCTTCACCTCCTGGATGTGCGAGAACCACCGGCGGATCGTCGCAGCCTGCACACCACATAAGCATGCGCGCGCGGAATGACACCACGGAGGCGAACGAGAGGAACCCACCTCGTCCGGCTCGTTAAACACTATAAACGGACCTTCGTACCCCTCCTTCGGGGTGTACTCAAAGTCTTCGATATCCTCGCTTACGATCTCCCTATTGGTAATCAAGTATCCCTGCCCGTCGACCATGTACGAGATCATCATCACTTGGTCGATCGCCTGGTCCGGAAACTTCAGCGGCGCCTTCGTCGTCTCGATATCGAACGCCATCACCACCGGGTCCGCACGCTTCACCCGCGCCGTGAGCAGCTTGAACGCCGGCTGGCCCTGCACGAACGATATCGCGTACCAGAGCCCGACGCGGATCTCGTTGTCCATCGCGACGCGCAGGTAGTACGGCACGTCGTACTCGCGAATGTCGACGATGCCCTCGCGCGGGTCCTTGTCGCCCCACCGTGCATGAGCGTGCGCACTCGTCGAGGAGCCCGCGTGCTGGGAGTCCGCCGCCCACTCGCCCTCGAGCTCGATGTTAGTCGTGGGAGCGGCGGTGGCGGTAACGACCTCGGCGTAGGCGTCCACGGCGTCGAGCTTGGCCGAGTTGGCGAGCGCGAGGGGCATGATGTCGCAGCGGACGGTGAGGAGGTCGGAGACGTTGCGGAAGTGGAGCTGGAGGAAGAGGCGGCGGTGGCCCATGAGGTGGTTCGGCATCTGGAGGTCCTCTTTGCGCTCGCGGGTGATGCGGCAGATGATGCCTTCGTATTTCTTCAGGAGCCATTCTTCGATAACTGTCTCCATCCCGCTCTATGTGCGTGTAAGGAGACATTCGCAGATGAAAGAAAGGGCTACACACCTTGCACGCTATGTAAAAGTACGGCTCGTATTGAAGCGTGCATTTGAACATTCCTCCGTCGTCCTGGATGAAGTAGAAGTCGACAGCGGCTTTGCCTCCAGGCCAGTCCGCGTCTTTCATCAATGTCTACACACATAGTCAGACCTACACGCAGCGAGAAACGCGTTCGGTACGTACCGGGTGCATGTTAATCAACCAGCCCTCTCTTGTGGGACCCTCAGCGACTCGTGCAAATCCGAGCTTCTCGTCCACCTCGTCGTTCGTCTTCACCTGCTCAAAACGCTCCGCAAGCTGGTTTCCGTCCTCATCTCGTTGTGGTTGCGCATCAGCTGGTGCCCCTCCGCGGCCTCTACCGCGGCCTCTACCACCCCGAAACGATGTATTGCCTCGATAGCTGAAACGAGAGGTACCGCGTCCACCCCTCTTGAAGGAGCCCGAACCTCGAGCCATAGGGAGTAGAGAGAGCAGAGAGTAGTAAAAAGAGAGGTAAGAGAGAGGCTCGCGTCGCAGTCGTCGTTGATGTCCTTGTCGTCGTCCTCGTTGTCCCCGTCCTCTGTGTCGCTGTCGCGGTCGTCGTCGCGTTGAGCGGCAAATCACATTGTGTGACCAGTCGCGGTATGTGACGGACGCCAATCGTCACACTACGTCACCCCCGGCACTCCGACGGCAGAGCAGCGTTGTTACGGGTCAAGTCAACGGTCATGACTTTTAGACGACGGATGACCGGTCACTGTGTGACCCGGTCATGACCGCCGGTCAAAAGTTAGCACGTGAGATCTCCGGCATGTCCGAGTGTGCGTCTGACGGCAGGCCATGGCTCTGGGATAGGCCAAACGCATCGTGGCCGCGAGGAGGTACAATAAGGGCTGATGAGACTATTGCATACTCATCCCTGTCCTTGAATTTAAATGACGTACTACCCCATAATACGCCATATCTGAGCTGCGAACCGACAAAGAGCTTGCCGACGGATAGATCAAAAATCAACTCATAGGGAACGGAACTCGACTTGGATATGAAGGCCGACGAGAGAACTAGCTGTATATGACAAACGAG